ACTATAGACCAATCAGCTTAATTTCAGTACCCAGAAAGATAACGAAGCATATAATTAAGCAATCAATTTGCAAACACCTAGAAAATAATAAGGTGATAAGTAACAGTCAGTATGAATTTGTTGGATTTCAACAAATTGAGTCAAACCAACCTAATAGCTTTCTATTACAGGGTAACAAGCCTTGTGCATGGGAGGAAGCAGTAGATATGTTATATCTTGACTTTAGTAAGTCTTTTGATACTGTCTTGCATGACCCTCTCATAAACAAACTAGGGAAATACAACCTAGATGGAACTACTATCAGGTGGGTGCATAACTGGTTGGAAAACCATTCCCAGAGAGTAGTTATCAGTGGTTCACAGTCAAGCTGGAAGGATATATCGAGTGGGGTCCTGCAAGGATTAATTCTGGGTCCACTTCTGTTCAATATCTTCATCAATGATTTAGATAATGGCACAGAGATTACACTCATAAAGTTTGCAGACGATACCAGCTGGGAGTGATTATAGGTGTTCTGGAGGATAGGATTAAAATTCATAATGATCTGGACAAACTGGAGAAATGGTCTGAAGTAAATAGGATGAAATTCAATAAGGACAAATGCAAAGTACTGCACTTAGGAAGGAACAATCAGTTGCACACATACAAAATGGGAAATGACTACCTAGGAAGGAGTACTGCGGAAAGGGATCTGGGGATCATAGTGGACCACAAGCTAAATACGAGTCAACAGTGTAACAACTGTTGCAAAAAACCCAAACATCAGTCTGGGATGTAATAGCAGGTGTGTTGTAAGCAAGACACGAGAAGTAATTCTTCTGCTCTACTTCGCACTGATTAGGCCTCAACTGGAGTAATGTGTCCAGTTCTGGGCGTCACATTTCAGGAAAGATGTGGACAAATTGGAGAAAGTCCAGAGAAGAGCAACAAAAATGATTAAGGGTCTAGAAAACATGACTTATGAGGAAAGATTGAAAAAACTGGGTTTGTTTAATCTGGAAAAGAGAAGACTGAGCAGGGACATGATAACAATTTTCAAGTACGTAAAAGGTTGTTACAAGGAGGAGGGAGAAAATTGTTCTTCTTAACTTCTGAGGAAAGGACAAGAATCAATGCGCTTAAATTGCAGCAAGTGTGGTTTAGATTGGACATTAGGAAAAACTTCCTAACTGTCAGGGTGGTCAAGCACTGGAATGAATTGCCTAGGGAGGTTGTGGAATCTCCATCATTGGAGATTTTGAAGAGCAGGTTAGACAAACACCTGTCAGGGATGACCTAGATAATACTTAATCCTGCCATGAGTGCAGGGGACTGAATTAGATGACCTCTCAAGGTCCCCTCCAGTCCTACAATTTTGTGATTGTAATGACCTTCAGTTTATTGTCTGAGCCCAACAAACATTATGTCCACTGGCATAGGTGATGCGTGGGATGGCGGGTGGGTGGGGGCATGCGGGCTCAAGTGCACAGCCTCCAGATTTCTACTTGGCCTGCCAGGGGGGAGGGAGTGGGGATCTGTCCTTCTCTCACTGCGCCTGCCCCCCTCCCCCTCCCGGCAAGCGTGGCCCCTGTCCCTGGAAGCTGAGCCCGGGCAGGGAGAAGAAGAGGCGGGACCAGCCACTTCTCACACCGACCACTCAAGGTGGCTGCTTTGTGCAGCACAGCAGCTGCCTGCGAGAGAATCTGGCTGGGGCGGTGGCAGCAGCAGGCTGCCCTCCACCCAGGCCTGGCTGCCAGGGATGGGCCGAGTGAGCTAGAGTCCCCTCTTCCCCCTGGCACATTTCCGGCTTGCTCGGCTCCTGTCCCCAGCATCCGGGCTCGGGCCGGGGGTTGGCCTGCCACCACCTCCAGAGCCGGGCTTTCTCTCAGGCAACTGCTACACTGCACAGAGCAGTGACCGGGAGTGACCAGCTTCAGCTGCATGAGAAGCAGTTCTGTTCTGCTCCCCACCAGGACCTGGCTGCCAGGGAGAGCAGATGAACATGCTGGTGGGGGGAGGCACAGTGGGAGAAGGACAGAGCCCCCTGCACCTCCCCGCTCAGGTAACTCCGGCAGGGCAGGGAGAGCGCGGCAGCCCCAGGCTGGGTGTAGGGTACGGGGGGGGGGTGTCACTGAGCAAAGGAGATATGTGGGGCAGTAATGTGTCCTCCCCTTTACATTGTGCCCCCCCCACCCATATGGAGAGGCATGAGTCATCTAGGTCCACTGTAACTCATTCTTAGCTAAATTGAGCCAAACCAGCATTGTACCCAACATGGCCAAAGGAATCCACAGCCATTTTTGATCTCTCATAACCATGCATAAAATGATAGGACCAAATCATAAACATTTGTAGGTTGAGTTAAGCTGGTTAGATATGGCTCTAATAAGGTCAAATGGGGTTGACACCGTTCCAAGAATTAGGCACAGGAGGAGTTGTTTGTTTTGTTTTATTTTGGTTGATAGCAATGGTTTAGTGGTGGCTGCAAGACAGGCAATTTTGGAGAGAGGCAGTGTTCTCTAGTGATTAGAGCAGGGGACTGGAAACCAACTCTTGGGCTCTCCTCCTAGTTCTACCACTAGCTTGCTCTGTGACCTTTCACAAGCCTGGCTCCTATTCTGTCTCCACTCTGTCCATCTCCCCCACCTTTCACAGTCATCCCTCCATCCTTTTGGACTCTCCCCTTCAAGCCTCACATTCATCCCCAGCTTTCCCCTCTTCCTTCTATAGCTGCTTTGTCTCCTTCGCCCTGCAGTTTCTTTCTCTCAGTGAAATATGGATGGCCCTCTGCTGCCATCCAGGGTCAGAGGGACCACCCTCTCTGTCAGCAGTGATCTCACACATTCACACAGTCTCTACTATCAATGACTCTCCGGTCTGTGTCTGCACTTCTGACCTGTCTCTGACATCCCCTCCTGGTTGCATTGCCATCAGCTTCAATTTTGCCTGGCCAAAACAGAGCGCCTTCCCTCCCAACTCCTTCCTTTCTCAGTCACTGACAACCTCACCTCCCTCCGTGTCACTCAGGCCCACAGTCGGAGATTCTGTCTTTGACTCCGCGACTCTCCCTCAGGTTGAGAGGCAGAACAGTTGTGAATGTGTACACTAATTGTATGTATGAGATTTTTTCTCTTTTTGCACTCTTTATATTTCTCTTGCATGCACTTGGGGGTGAGCACTGGGCCTTTGTCCATGTTTGGATGGCATCTTACCACAAAAGGTACGTCTGCACTGCAATCCTAAGTGTGACTGCAGCAGAGGAAGACATACCCATGCTAGCACAGATAAAAATAGCAGTGAAGACACAGCGGCATGGGCTTCAGTGAGGGCTAGAAATGCGAGTATGTAATCACTGTCCCCAGTGTGTTTGTACAGACTGAGCTGCTGCATCTATGCTAATATATGTAACCATGCTAGCCTAGGTAAAGCCACCGTGGGTATGTCTACCTGTGCTGTAATCAGGCCTCGGACTGCAGTGTAGACATACCTAAAAGGATCCCCAGCCTGGATTGGGGCTTCTGGGAGCTACCGCCATGTAAATGTTAAATAACAATCGACAAATTCAATTATAGCTCTTCAGCCCAAAACAAATCTTTCAATGTTTCCTGAAAAGGTTGGATGCTAGTACTAGAAATAATCAAGGGATTTAATCAACTTTTAAAAGGGGCAAGAATCAACCATTTGCCATGTTTTAGCATCATCAGTTTATATAAGAATTATTGGCAATGTTAAGGTTGATTTACATCAGAGACCAAAGGAAGATGGTGATGCTGTGACATTGCAAAAGGAATCAATAGGGTGTGACTGCAAAATGTCACTTAAGAAAACTGTACAGGTAAGAGGAACTCTAATTCATGTGTATTTACAAGGAGAGACAACTGCAGAGCAGCAGTAAGAGGGGTCAGAAGGAAGAATGTAAAGGGCTGTGATTGACAGTTGATTGCAGTATCATTTAGAGTGTGAATGACTGAGGTCACAGCAATGCCATGAAAGATGAGAGCACTAAAGCTGCCCTGCAAGACTATGCAGAATGTTCTGTACATGGCACTAAAGGGCATAAATTGGAACTGTCAGGATGGATAATAGATGTAATAAAAAAGAAAATGACTAGGCGAGACAAATGTGCAAAGATTTGACTTGCATCCTAATACACTATTTTTAAAACTAGTGAGAGAAAAATAAATGAAGAGACTATGATGGGGTATGTGACCTATTTGGATCTTGGGAGCCCATGTGGTTGCTAAGGTAGAGTCAAGACTTCCAATCCCATTTTTTTCCTGTCAGATTTAGAGATTTTTTTCAAACCACAAAGGAAGGGATTAGGTGGCTGAGTAGCAGAGGCAGCTGGGTCTTCTTAATCAGGTCCCGGTGACATGCATAATGAGGAGAGGAGGAAAAGAGTGAAAAGTTTTGCAGCACAGTGAGATGGGAGTCACTTCATGAGGAAACATCTGCTCTGCTTTTGGACCCAGAGCATGGAGGGCTTTCCATTTTGGAACCTCACATGCCCCTGTTTTCCACTAACGTTGTATGGGGGGAAACCTCAAAGCTTCAAAACAGTGTATGATACAAATCCAGAAGTTCAAATGTTCAGCTTTTCTCATGAGGATACTAAGTAATATATTTCTATTGTTTCAGTATTTCTTCCAATCCTATCCTGTACCAGGAAGTGCGGAAGTGTGAAAATGTTAAAAATTTAAGACTTTTGCATGTAAAATATTAACCAGAGTACTACACTAATAGTTTTTTTGCATTTTAATAGAATTATTATTTGCAGTAGCACCCACTAAGTGCTCAGTGTTTTCCAAACACTTCAGAAGAACACAGAATCTAAGAACAAACAAGTAGACAGTGGTCAGGGGAAGCGGAATAACAGTAGGTGATTATATATATATAATTGTATAGATAGGTGATTATTTAAAGAAAAGATGTTAAATAATACTGAGCAGAGTCAGCTGAATGTTTATCTTTATGCATATATTCATATTTTTTAGAATTTTTTTCTTATGGGTTTTCCTCAGATCTTTGGCTATTTTATAGTAGAAGGTGATGCCCTCACTTCCCAGCTAGATGAAGAAAACATGGTTTTCCTGGTGTCCCGAAGACAGCGGATTACAAAAGCAGGTGCCATCTTTTAATATTCATTCCAAAATCTACTCTAGTGCACACTTTTTTGAGGATACAATTATGAGGTCACATGGCTATTTGTTATGCACACTTCTTGTTCTACCATGTTTATAATATACCCCCTTTTTTTAATCCGAGGTCCCTATCCTGTTTGTACCTGAAGATTTCTCATCCAACACATTGAGCACGCAGGTCTTGCCTATTCACCCACTTTCTTAAATTTTTCCTGTTTTCTTCTTTTCTTCTTATTTTTAAATGACTAGATCACCTGACCCAAACTTCCTCTTAACAAAATTCTTCTGCTCCCCCCACCCATCCCCACATTCCTCTGCAACTTGCTGTATGGGACCAGCCCCATCCTCAAGATTTTAATATTTGAAAATTCAGTATGATTATTTAAAGCCAGTATAGAATAGTCTGCATGCTCATCTATTACATCTCTGAACTCAGTCCCTGTATATTTGGGAGTGAGGGAAGTGCTCCTATCACCTTGTTCTTAGTTATGTATTTTGCCTAGTCTCCTTAGCTGTTTATACTTGTGAGATAAAGAAAAATGTTATTTCACTGGCAGGTGTCAAGAGACGAGATGTGATTAAGTGTATAGCAAAGGTGCCACAATTGGATTTCATGGTAACAGCATCTCAGAAAGGAACGTTAACCATTTTTAACAGTCAGGTAATTCTGATTCATGCTAGATTTTTCTTTAGCCCATTGGTTAGTATATTATGAACTGAAGAAGTATGAAACAGAAGTGCATGCTTATATGTAAAAGCTTATATGTAAAAGCTACATGTCTTTTTAACAAGGTTAATTTTGCTACAATTTTAAGTACTGAGGGAAATAGTCACTGGATTTATTTTTAGTGAATCTTGCCCGCTTTCAAGCTTGCAACAGTTGTCTGAAAGTGCAGACACTTAAAATTTCAAAAGTTCTTCAGGAACTGTCTAGCTTTTTCTAAAAACTCATGTGGCTTTTTGGGGGGGGGTATTTATTTTTATTTTTTTGAGACAGGATATTGGACTAGCTGGGTCCTCGAGTCCTCCAAAAATTCACTCAGGCACTAGGGGGTTCTATGATCCCATATCTGCCACTGACTGGCTTTACTTCTTAGCACTTTTTCTATTATCATCATGAAATTATGCCTCTGTTGTGTACTAAAACAGAAAAGATGTAGCTGTCACAGCATATTTCTGTCACTGAGCAACTTAACTTATACTGATGTCTAAGTGCTTTCATGGAAGTAACCTGTTGACTGCATGTTCGAAGAGTCACTCATCGGAGGTGAACTCACATGCTGAAACTCAGATAAATGGGCTTTGTTCAGAACTCCACAGGGACCTGCTCACAGACCACAGGCCTGCATCACAGCTGCTCCAAAGCCACTTCTCTAGGCTGTAGGCTACAAGAACAGCTGCTGCCCCGCCTTACCCCTTTATGCAGGCGTTCTGTGTTTGTGCATTGATATAAGCAGTCCTCTCTTCAGGGCAATGGGGAGCCCACTTCTGCAATGTCTGAGGGCACCTGATGCAGTTGCATCACCTCCTCAGCCCCAAGCACGGGTAACACGGGGTTTATGTGGGTGTGGAAGGTCTATTATGAAATTCTTCCAGATGTGCACTATTGGACATTTTAAAGTCTTGGGGCCAAATTCAGCCCTGGTATAAAAAGACACAGCTCCTCTCAAGTTAATGGCATTGTGTCAGGGTAGAATTTCCACCTTTTGAGGAATTTCTGATGTAAAAGGCCTATGAATCTTGAAGGGTTAGAACAGTGTGCTCGCTTAATACTCTCCAATAACCAGCTTAATAGCAGTTCAGACTCCAAATAATATTAAAGCAACATTCGTTAAGGAGTCTAAGATACTCTATGAATGGTTAAAGAAATATACTGTAGCCAGGCTATAAAATGCAGTGGACATAAATCACACATCTGTGCAGATTGTCACTTCTGTGATCAGAATGCAACTTGTCTATCACAATATTGTAAAAATGCAGTTAGGTTTTAAAGCAGCAATAACATAGTCCAGGTGTTTCAACTAATTAGGACATAATGCTCATGGAAGGAGTGAACTAGGCAACCAAAGATTCATGTGGGTAATTAAATGCCAAAGCAAAACTGAGGCATTTGGTAACTACTGAAATAATTTATTTGAAAGCCCAGGCCTCTGTCTTCAGGAACATTATCCCTCTTACACACCAAGGCAAAAGAATTCCACCCAGCACAGCAATAAAAAATACATTTTTCCCTGTGCTATTTAGAAAGTTCTGCGCTGCTGCCTCCTCCAAGTTTCCATTGACGTCACTTTGACATCAGTGTCTCTATTTTGTTTCCAGAGTTTAAATGATTTTACATCTTGCTCTTTGAAGCTGTGCATGGAGATTTTGAGTCATGCTGGTATAACTATGCGTGCTGTTTGGAAAACGATGAAGGCATTACAAAGTGGGTCACACTCTGATTTCACTTACCGTGGATTTAAACAGGTGTAATACCATTGGCTTCATTGGAATAGCTCTGAGTTTACACCAGAACCAGTATATGTCTACCCTGCTGTCGAAGATGCGATTGCAGCACATGTACACATACACACACTAGCTTTAATCTAGCTGGCGAGAGTACCAATAGCTGTGAAACCACAACAGCAGGGGCTTCAGCATAGGCTGTACAAGCCCACTTGAGACCCTGAGTACTTACTCACATGGCTAGGCTGCATTGGAGCTCATGCTGCCATGGCTTCACTGCATGCTATCAGTATGCACGCTAGCTAGATCAAAGCTAGCCCCGGTATGTCTGTGTGTGCTGCAATCATACTTCCAACTGCAGTGTAGACAGAACCCAAGTGAGAGCAGAATTTGTCTCTTTAGCTGTGAAATCAGTTGGTCTGATTCCAGTTACTAGCAGAAGAGCCCACATCAAAGCCAACAATGGTGTTAGCACCTTTTTCAGCAGTCTGTTGTCCAGAGACCAAGATTCAAAAGGAACAGACCCTCCTGTCTCATCTTTAGTGGTATTTCCTCCAGGTCAGCTCTTCAGCATATTGGCAGGGTCATATGATATGAGGAAGCTTGCCTTGTAACTAAACTTATGAGTCTTGCAATGTGCATATAGAGGCCATTTCTCTCCTGGGTTGTCAGTTCATAAGCACTGCCTTTCATGAATAGACTCAGGTTTTATTTATCTTAAGGTTCTGATTGTACTTGATTAGATACTTGAATGGGTGCTGGGTTTTGGTTGCACATATTTCCCACTCGAGTCAGTGGCTCTGAATGAATCCATGGACAATGCTTGGTCTGATGTGAGTAGTGAATTTCTGGATCTTTATCATGCCATTTTTGGGTGCCCATCTAAGCGGAAACATTCCTCCTGGTATAATAGACTTAAGGACAAATTCTGCATTCTATACTGGTGTAAATCCAACATGCCTCTATCAAAGTCAATACACTGGTATGCACAAGCAACATATAGTTTGATTTAGTATTCTCCTGGAACCACTAACCTTACACAAAGTAGCTTTCAGGAGTCAAATTTGACTAAGCAATTGTATGGGACCCTGTAGCCCTTCCAGGTCAATTCCTTCAAAAAGTGTGTTCTCCTCATGTGAAGATTTTGGGACGGGGGCGGGGGGAGGGCTGGAATTGAGAATAATTGGAAGCCAGGGGAGGTGGAAATAGCAAGGAAGAAAAAAATTGTTTTACAAATGAAAACAGAAATAGTAAAGAGGATTCTAGTCATCCCACAGCGTATCTGTTTGCCTCATTCTACACTAATAAAAGAGTGGAAAATAAATGATTTCCAGCAAATTATTGCTTTGACAGCTGCATGTGTTATTTACATTACACAACTCTCCGAATGACTGATTCAGATTGGATGGGTTAGGACAGCTTTCAGCATCATCACTTAATTTATCAAGTGACACACTTCCATCATCCAAGTGTGCTGTGTAAATTGTTCAGATGTAATTATCTTCCAATGTAAATACAGCATAGAGGCTTTTCTAGACTGAGTGCTGTAATGTAAATCCCGCACATGCGCCCACATATCTTCAGCTATTAAAGCTTAAATTAGAGGCAAAGGAAAATTAATTATTAATTTCTAACCCAGTACATTCCTCTCTGAGGGCAAAATTCTACCTTCTTTCTAAGATGTATGTGGCTCTCACAGGCTGGCAGTGTTTGCCTGAAACACTCTAGATTGACAGCAAATGTTGAGCCCACTGGGAAGGGGTTAAATTTAAGGCCAAGATCTCATTACCCATCCCATCAGGTATAAGGGAGGGGCTTTCTAGAGAGGGAGGATCTAGGGTATGGTCTGATGAAGAGTGGTAGGAGCAGTCAGGCCTGGGCAGAACCCTGGAGGTGAAATCTGTTTTTAATGTTTTTGTCAATAAAGACAAACCTCAGGAAGCCAGTGGATTGTTAACTCTACTCAGCATGTGGAGTTTGTTTTAGGGAAGACTTGAAAAGGCAGCTTCCTGCTCAGTCTCCCACTGCAGCCAACAAGTGTTCCATACTTGCATCTCCAAAGGCAGAATTTGATCCTAGATTTTCTATGTATGATTGAAGCTGCCAGTAGAGGGTTTGGGGCACATCTGAGAGGAACCAGTGGCAAACGGATGATGGTGAGATCCTGGTGGGAGGAGGTGGCTGCCTGCCTGTGGGGATGCAGGAGAGAAAAGGTTGGTCCAGGATTCTCACTCTTGCAAGCTGAATAGGTCCATGTATAAAGAAAGAAACTAACTGATCTTCTTGGGAGTCAGGAGCCTTGCATCAGGGCAGGACTTAACGTGAATGCCATTATAAAAATGGACATATTGCACTTCTCTCTTTCCCTCAAGGATCTCAAAGTGCAGACAGATGGCAGTTATTGATTCCCATTTTACAGATACTGCATCTCTCTCTTTGTTGCTCTAAGTCACTGGCAGGGCTCCAGTAACTCCGACAGGGGGTATGGGCTTATTACAGGAGTGGGTGGGTGAAGTTCTGTGGCCTGACACGTGCAGGAGATCAGACTAGATGACCATGATGGTCCCTTCTGGTCTATGAGACATGGTTGGTTATTCCATTTGGTTTCAGATCCTAGAAAAAGCACAGCGACTAACTCTCTGTCTGTGGTGATTGGTGAACTGACTGTGCTCAGATTTTTAATTCCCTTGCCAGCTACTGATTATCTTTTTCTTTTTTTGTTTTGTTTTCAGATGAGGGTTCTGACAAGCACAAACATTGCAGTAAGTTTGGTTTTTTTACCCCCTTCTAATTAGATAGAATAATGTTTACTTTCTAATTATTTCACTTCATTAACTGTTGATTTTTAATTGAAAATTCTAAAATTCTTTTTCTCCTTGAGTCTCCTGCATAATTGTGCATAGTGCTGCATGTCAGGACATTCTGGTTCAATTCTTTCCTCTCAATTACAGAGAAGTTTGGGTATTTGTTTCCCTGGATGGAAGGATGCTTCAGATAAGTATTTCTTCCACCAAATGCCTCTTCCCTCCCAACCCCCCGCACCCAGCCCCAACCCCCTTGTATATCTTTCCAACATCTTTTCTGAAGCTGTAGGGTAAGAGGTGACATTCAGTTGACACTACAATTTTAGTAAGAAAAACTGTCATGCTGAGTAGGGAAATACAGTTCTATCAATTCCTAATTGCGTCGTATGGGTGATTGACTGACATACATGAATACACCCTGAAGGCTAAATTTTACCCTGAGAATAGCACTGCAGATCTTAGGAAAGCACATTACCTCAGAGGATTTGAGGACCAAAGTCTGTCATCAATCCAAACAGCTGATGTGACCCCTTGCTGCAGTCAATGCAGATATTCTGTCCCTTAGGGCCAGTGCATTTATGCTGACAGATCCGCCAAAGCAGGTGTCGCTTAAGAGGAAATAAAGGTATTTTAGGCCACGCACCCAACTTCTCCAACTACCACCCACCGAAAAAGGCAGCTCAGTAGCCAGTTTGTGCATCAAAACTTATAACTGATGTTGCAAGGACTAATTTGACCTTTGTAGTCACTACAGGGATGTATTTTAAAATAGACACACATGATTCTGAAGAGATAGCAGAAACACCCTCCCATGCACAAGTAGGTGTGTATTATTTTGGTCAGGCTATGGAAGCCAGCTATGGCTTGTGTTATCTGCTACTGTTTGAGCATTGGCACCTTCCTAACTTAATAGATCTCAGTGTTAATATCCTTATATCAGATCACCCATAACATTCTGCGGTTTTTATAGATGTTGTCAGAAGTGGTTAAAACAGTCTGTGGTATGCATGTCAATGAAGTGGAAATCGCACCAAATGTCTGGCTGTGCCAACCCACAAGCTAGTATTATGGTGTCACAACCAAACACAGGGGTTAAATGCCTTGCATAAATCCTATGCTTGTCTGACATGGGCCTCAAAATTCTGTAGTCCCCAGTGCTTTGCTGAAGGATTCATCCTGTGAATGTAAATGTGATTTGAAGGAAGGTCCAACAGGAGCAAGGTGTTCTTTGACTCTTTTTAAATGTAACAATTGTGGAAAATATTGTTTAGGAAAGGGGATACTGCTGCATCACGGCACAGCTTTTTGTTGTTGTTGTTGTTGTTTTCATTGCTTGTTTGTTTTTTGTGGGTTTTTTTTTTTTTTTAGTAGTAACCCTGATTTTTCTAAACAAACATGAATGAACTTTCAGTATTTTGGAAACATTTAGGATGATTTTGTTGCCTGCTGGTTGGAGAATATACCATTGGGTATTTTGCAGTGATAATGAGTTACTTTGTTGTGTAGACCTGGCGTTAGTGTTATTGTTTTGTTTTGGTTTAAATTTGTGCTGGCATAGCTATGTCAGGCATGTGAAAAACATCACTCTCCTTATTGATGTAGTTAGGCTGGCAAAAGCCCCCATGTAGACACAGTTTATACAGGCAAAATATTCCGTTTACCAGCACACGTTATGCCATTTGGGGAGGTGGTTTAACCTGTGTAAGCAGTGTCCCCACTAGGAGCCTGTGTCAGTATAGCTATGCTAGCAAAGTCTTTGTAGTGTAGATTAGCCCTAATCTTGGATCTCTGGGATTAGCTATTGGTCACTGCCTTTTGAATACAAATATTAACAATAACTTTTAACAATTTTTGTTTGTTTTGGGGTTCAATAAACCAACAAGATTTAAGGAGCTAAAGCTAAGGGGTAAATCCCCTTAAGCTTCTTCCTCCTCCTCCTCTACTTCCATATGAGCAGCAGGCTGGTGGCTGAGGCTACAGCCTGGCTGAGCAATGGCTGTGTAGCCTTGGCCCTCCACTTCAGGAATGCCTCATGCTGCTCCATGTATCAGGTGTGGAGGCACACTTGTGCTTACACCCCTCTTTTGTTGGCCATTCCCACAGCACCCCAGTGCAAGCCGACACAGTTCCTCCCTCTGCCATCCCACAGAGGAGAGGGCAGTTTGGTAGCCTGCTCCCTCGTGGTTTGCAGGTGCAGACGTGCTTTGTCCTGCTCTGCAAGGACAAGACCAAGGTTAGGTGTTAGGGAATGCACCTGGGGATGCCAGAGAGCAGGGGCTGGGAAGTGAAGCCAATGTTGCATTGGGAAATAGGTAGCTGTTGCCTCCAGGATAAGGCGCTTGGTGTATCCCCCAACACCTCGGGTGTCTCCTCCAGAGATGGCATACCAGGGTACTGATCCTGGACTGCCTTCCCCTGGGGATAAGGGACCACCCTTCACCGGGGTGGCAATCAGCCACCAAAACGTGCTCTCAGATGTTGGAGCACCTCCTGGACTAGTAAGGGGTCCCTCCCTTCTACCCCTCATCTCCCATCCTAGGGACAATACGTTTTTATTTATCTGTGTATGTATGTCAGACAGTCCTCCCCTCACTAGTCAACTAGCCCTCCTCTTGCCCTTCTCCTGACTCACTGACACACTGCAAATTGAAATCAAAATGGCCACTATTGGACTTCCTGTTCTGGGTTAGAAAAGGTCAAAAGTAATGTTGAAACCAGTGTTTTGATATGTCAGGAATGAACTGTTGCTGAATAGTTCATTCTGCAAAAGACTTCAAGATTTTGACTTTTCATCCTGAATCAGGATGAAAGAAAATTTCAAAATATTTTTCATGGGACAGAAACTCCATTTTCCAGCCAGCTCGAATATGTGCTGTTATAAAATTAGTCTTTCTGGAACTCCTTAGGAACCAAAGATATGTTTTAAAAAATAAAGAGTGCATATTAAAATTGTAGTTTTCCTTTCAGTTGTCTGTATCTGAACTCTTAGTAAAATTTCAGGGACAGCTACTCAGCTGATATAAATCTCTGCATCTCCAGTAACTTTATGGGTGCTGTGTCAAATTACACAAGCTGAGGTCATAGCCCCAGCAGCTAAATTAGTGTTAGAATGAAGAGCTGTGAATAATGTGTTGCTGTATCTCCTGATTAATTTCTGGATAGCTGGACAGCTTTGTTTTGCAGGACTTATGTTTCTGTTCCCAGATCTTCAGAAACATCATGGTAGAATTAACAATCCGTTCTTCTCTGTCTGAAATTAAGACATTTTCATCTGAATTAATATGGTCTGTGATGCCACTTTTAGATCATCCATCAATCTGTATCTTTTATGAAAATGAAGTGAGGCTGGATGCCAAATTAAGTGAGAAAATCTCTCTGAACTCTCCATCTGCTGATAGATAATTCTCAGCAGCAGTGCTCTTGCCATTGTATTGCAGAATAACATCTTATGCTCCTTCCAGTCTAAGTTCTCATAGCATTTTAAAAAACTGAGATTCATGAAACCATGATAGGAAAGGAATGGTCCCATTTAAAAGACAGGAAAGTCAAGGCACAGGGAGGGTGTGAGTTTGACCAATATAACACAGCAACTGTGTGGCAGATCCAGGACTAAAAGCCAAGTCTCCTGGAATACTTGTACAATCTGAACCTTTCCAAATACCAGATAGTTAAGAAGAACCTGAGTTGTCAGTAGATCCTTTCCTATTTTGCTTTATGGTTTTATGGACAAACAAACCTGATTTCATTCTTTGATGAGATTACAAGTTTGGTTGATAAAGATAACTACATAAATGTAATATATCTTGACTTGTGTATGGCATTTGACTTAGTACTGCCCAACATGCTGGTTTAAACCTTAGCACTGTACAACAGCAATAAAATGCATGTTAAATGGCTTAGGACCTGGCTAATGGACATGTCTCAAAGTAGTTGTAAATTGGAATCATCAGTGAATGGGGGTGTTTCTAGTGGGATTCCACAGGGATCTGTACTAGGCCTGATGCTAGTCAACTTTTTCATCAGTAATCCTGAAGTAGATATAAATTCACTGGTGATAAAAGCTGTGGATGACACAAAGATTGGTGGAGTGGTAAATAGTGATGAGGACAGGGCAGTCATACAGAGCAATCTGGGTTGCTTGGTAAGCTGGGCCCATTCAAACAAAATGCATTTTAATATAGCCAAATACAAAGTTATACGTCTAGTCCCAAAGACTGCAGTCTAGTTATACGTCTCGTCCCAATGGGGGACGGCATCCTGGAAAGCAGTGACTCTGAAAAGGAGTTAGGGGTCATAGTGAACAAGCAACTGAACATGAGCTCCCAGTGCGATGCTGTGGCAAAAAGGGCTAATGTGATCCTTAGATGTGTGAACGGGAGGGGCGGGGAGTAGGAGTAGGGAGATGAATTTATTTCTGTATACAGTGTTGGTAAGACCAGTACTAGAATACTGCATGCCGTTCTGGTGTTCATATTTTTAAAAAGATGTTGAAAAATTGAAGAGGGCGCAGAAAAGAGCCACAAATTATTTGAGGATTAGAGAAAATGCCTTATAGTGAAAGACCAAAAGAAATAAATATGTTTAGCTTCCCAAAATGAAGATTGAGAGGTGATTTGATTACAGTGTATATGTACCTCCCTGGGAGAAAATACTGGTTACTAAAGGCCTCTAATCTAGCAGAGAAAGGCATAACAAGAAGAATGGCTGGAAGCTGAAGCCAGACAAATTGAAATTAGAAACAAGGCACAGATTTTTAACAGTGAAGCTGATGAAGAGTTGTGAATATTTGCTCTGTCATGGTATGACTGGGAGTGAAGACAGTTTGTTGTGGTCTTCTCTTGGTCCTTAAAATATCAACAACCTGGGCCAACAAAACCAAAGCAAAAAACGTTCTCTGGGACAGATAGAGTAATGCCACACTCTTGTTTGCTGTCTTTACATTTCCAGAGCAGTAAAAT